ATTTATAGTTGCTACTATGAACTATTTTATTATATTTCTTTTATGATATCCACTAACTAATAACTCTGTAGATTACTAAATATTGCTTATTAACTTGGTACTTAGTCACCTTAAAACATTTTTATGTCATTTGTAATATTTTACTTGGTTCTCTTAAAATTCTTAAGTAGAAAAATTTATGATATGAGAATAGTCATCATGATAATATCTTCTAATATTTGTATTTGGTTGTGCCACAGAAATATTAAGTAATGTAATAGTGGGATTTTTTTCAATTGTAATAAAAATGTGTTTACCATTCCACACTAAGCATAATGGTAGATTTTTGTGAGATGCACCATTTCTATCAAGTTAGTGACCATTTCTTTACATTTTAAAAAACCTATGAATGCTATTTTTTATTTTAGTTGTTATAATGGTTAAATATTATAACTAAACTTTCTAAAATTGAGCCACCTTACATTTGTAGAAGACAATATCAACTGGTCTCCAAATTCATCTTTCTCTCTAGTATCTCTTCTCTCTCCATTCATCACAAAATATCCATCACAAATTCTTTAAACACAACTATGACTAGATCAATACCTTGCTCTGAAGCCCACTGTGGTTATCTGTCTGCCATAGAATACCATCCAAATTTCTCAGGAGGGCATTCAAAGTCTTCCACACTGTGTTAACTCATCAGTACTGCTACCTCTCACAAATGTTACACTTAGGTCTGATCTGACTCCTTTTTGGCCTGAAAAAAAAACATATTCCCTTCTGTCTTCTTTTTAGTTTAGATTTTCACTTATTGAGAATATAGTCATCCTGAAAATTTCAAAGCTACCTTTTCCATGAAGTAGTCTCCAATGTCTTTGATATGGAAATTATTTCCCTTTTGCTGGACTCATAAAACACTATAAGCCTTTGCTATAGCACATATATTAATGTGCCTTATAGTAGAGACCTCATCACTCTTTTGAGATGCAATAAAGAATATAGCATCTGCAAAGAAAGAAACTTCTGTTACATAATTTTATCTCTCCTATAAACTTTCAGCATCTCTAGAGGGACTCAGAAAAATGAAAGTGGAATTCGGTTTTTAAACCTTCACTCAACAACACAGTGAAGTAAAATTTTTACTTGTTCATAGACTATAAACACTCAAATAATAAATATTCTAGGCAAATGTCAATTAATATCTTGCCCTAAGTCATGTTGGTACCATCATCATTGAAAGTAGGCTCTTGAAAAATGAAAGTCAAACACTAAAAATCTTAAGACTGTAGAGGTGATTGCATTTTGTTTCCACCAGATATAGTAAATAACCTAAGAACATAGAAGCTGAAATACAAAGATACTTTGACCTGGGAGGAAATATGGAGTTACTGTGGTTTCTTGAGAAAAGGCATGATACACGGAAAGCAAACTTTCAGAAACACTACTCTGGACAATGAACATGAAATGGATTTGGAAGGAAGAGTGACAGGTGCAGTTAGAAGTGTGGCACAGCAACACACATGGAGAGGAACACGAGCAAATAACAACAAAAATAAAGGCCAAAAGCCAAAGCTGAGCTAAAACAAGATATAAATTTGACAGTATAATGTTTGTTGATTTAGGTAAGCAACAAAAAAAGAAGAAATGGAGCATTTCAGAAATCAATGTTATCATGTCATAAAGGTGTAACCTTCAACAGTAGAATAAGTCTTCACTTACTGTCATTGATAAGTTCTGCAACCTTAAGAAAGATGTCATATAACAAAATCAATTTCACCATGGGCTAGTTGTAAAACAAGAGTTATGTTTCTATAGCATGATCACCATTAATGAAATGATGTTGAAATTACCTCCTTATTCAAGGACCTGCATGCTTCTAATTAGCAAGTTGGGGGAAAGTCTGTTGTCCTTCTCATTCAGCTAACCTGATACACTTGAGAGTGAGGACCAGAAAGTATCCATGTTTATAACTCTGGTGCTCAGCATAGTGCAAGACATAGAATAGAACAAAGAAAAAATATTGTAGAACTTAATTGATGATCATTTATTATACATAATAAGAAGAACTTAACTTGTTCCTTAATGTAGTTCCCTCAATTTTTTCTCTATTTAAGATTTATGTTTATGTTTCATTTATTTTTAAATACTTTGTACAACTGGTTATGTTAGTTCAGACAAATACATGAATCCAGAGGTTCACATACAACATAAAAGCATATCCATGGAAATGCATGATCCATGCTATGGATGCTGTGTAAATAAAGGAGGATGGAATTGCCAGTTACTTTTATTTGGCTAAAAAAATTCAAGATCAGTAGAACCCATCACCTTCGTGAAAGATGCTGATTACTTTGTCTTTCAAGATGATATGCCAGTATCCCAGGCTGTGAACAAATGTAGAAATGCAGACACTTGAGATGACATTCAAGGGTTTGCAGTGCCTTATGAAAGACAGGAAAATCCTTTCCCGGGAAAAGCGTGATGCTTGTAAGAAAAAGCTGTTAGTTAACCAGGAAGATTCTAAACAGAAAATCACTCCAAATTTCATAGAATTTCTATAAAATGAAGACTACTGACACATATGTGGAGGCACACCTAATAAACAATGTTCAGAGTAGAAATAGGGCACTGCGATACCACCTGGAAAAAGCAAACGAGTAGTGCAGGTCCGTGACAATGTAGTGTGAGCTCACAGACAAGGGGGCTGGAAAATGTGAACATGGGAAAAAGAGGGATTTGTGTCATCTGTGTTTTAAAGTATCTTATCTCCTTAGCATTAGAGAATAGGATCAGTAAAGAGTCAGGAAAGAGGACTGGACCAACCGAGAAAATAGGACCATACGAAGAAAAGGGAACCAAGAGCTGCTAAGTGAAAACTGGAGCAAAGCTAGGATAACCTCAGTGGAGAACAGGAGTTGAATGTATGAAGAACAGACAGAGTTGAAGCAAAGAGTAAGTTAGAAGATAAGAGTATTCTTCAATATAGTAACTGCAAGCCACATGTAGTTATTCAGATTTAAATTAACTAAAATATAATAAAGTTAAAAATTCATTCCCTCAGTCATGGCAGCCACTGTTAAATGCTCAGTAGGGTTAGTGGCTAACCTCATATTGGAGAGCACCGGGAGAGAACATTTCCACACCTCAGAGAGTGCTATGCAATAGCACAGTACTGAGGACACTAAAATGAGTGGGAAGGAGAACACAGCAGAAGAAGAGGTGAAGGAGGAGGGGTGGTGGTTCAGAATCCCCCTGTCCCATTCATGCTTAATTCCTCATGTGACCAGTCAAGACAGCAGCTGCTCTGCAACAGCAGGGTCGGCCACACCCCCTCTCACAAAGGTGCTCAGAGGTTGCTGCTTTACCCACACTCAGGCTGTTGGGATCTTTGGAGCAGGGCATTGAGTCAGGGGTGGAGCCAAGGCTGGTGGTGGATGAAGAGGGCCTGGGCAGCCCCTGGTGCCATGCCCAGAATTCAAGGTCGGTAAAGCACTCACTTGGCTCTCAAAACCTGCAAGAGTAGGTTCCTTCACCTCTGGTGTCCAGTGAGTCTTCAGTCACTCGTGGGCATGCAGTCCTCCTGCTCATATATTGCTCAGCCTAAGGCAGAGGGTGGCACTCACTTTTATCTTATTCCACCATGAAGAAATTCATAGAAATTTGTTCTGACCACCACCTTTTATTTTACTTATTCATATCAACCAATTCTAAGCATTCATATTCACTGCAAGTAAATGTAGGCAGCCTATCTCTTCCCTCTAAGCTCCATGAGGACTAGCATGACTACTCAAACCTCTGTGGAGTAACCTTTGTCACGCATCTGCAGTGAAATGACAGCATTCTGTAAAATCTCTAGCCCTCAGATTATCCTTCCTTTCTAGAGCATTTTTAGTATTTTTTGGACAAAATCAACTTCTTGTATAATCCAATAGGTCTTTTGTTCCAGACCCCTATTTCAAATCCCATAGACTTCCTGCCACACACAGTATTTATACCTGACATTAGGAGGTGAAGAGAACATATCCCAAGAACACTGTCAAATGCTGCCTGCCTTGTGGGAGTCACTATTTATTTCACAAACTCAGGGCTGCTCAGTTCCCCATTTGCATGTGTGGGCAGCTCTTTCTTCAATGTATTCCTTGTGTTGTAATTGGCTCACTATACAGGTTCTTGGCTCTGTGCTTGGGAATCGTCACTGACTTTTAACCCACCTCACCTGAAGAGGTTTCTGTGTGTCCACTAGTATTTCAGGTACAGATCCTCATCTTAGAAATTATCAACAGGATTTTAATTGGAGGTTTTGATTGTTTACTTTTAATCTGTTTAGTGGTATTTTCTTTACTGATATTTTATAGCAGTTGAAAAAGGCAAAACTTGAAAGAGAGAAAAAATGTTGGGAGAGAATGTATTCATTTAGAGCCAAACACGGAGACTTCCTGGGACTCAGGCTGATCACTTAAATGCAGACAACCTTATAATCGTAAGTATCAGAGTTTTGCTTATATGAACTAATGTTTTAAAAATATTCTCCCTCTTAACATTAGCAAATTTTGTGCCTCATCATGAACAATTTTGAAGATGGCTGGATATTCCCTAACATCAACTGAAATGGAAAGTTTATAGTTTTCTACTGTGTCCTGTCTGCTTATGAGCATGGGCCAGATAATCCTCCTGGAATATTGTAAACTCACATCCAGATTCCACTTGCCTTTCAATATGGGAAGAACCTAAACAACCTGTGAATAGAGCTTACTGTGAGAAGCCCCTATCAATTGCAGCATTCTCTATACTCCTGATCATTTAAATGCCTGCCACTGAAAACCTTCAGTAAAAGAATGAATATGCCAGTAGCTACAGAGAGCTGCCTTTTAGCTAGAGGAAGGGTGTGTCCCCATCTTTTAGCTGGAAGCAAGGATGATCTCGTCAAGCATCCTTCATGAGACCAGCCCAAGTTTTTAGGGTGGGGATCTAGACTAGTTATACTTACCTTCAGTCCTTCTTCCAGCAAAGTCAGAAACACCTCAAAGCCTGCATGTAGAACATCTACTGAGAAGTTGCTTTAATCAGACATCAGCTAATTGGGGGAAAGAAACAGAACAGAAAACATACAGCACTCCCCTGGTCTTGGATGTAAGAGCACCCAGCAGCGATGGACTGGCGCTTCGGGACAGCTGCAGTGCTGTTCATTTTTCTGGTGAGTGGATTCTGTTAAAAATCCTGCATGTTTACTCTCGTTGTCAGCAGGTGAGAACTTGTTTAATAGTGTATATTTATTTATTTTTAGAGCAAGGGGAAGGGAAGGAGAAAGAGAGTAAGAGCAATACCAATATGAAAGAGAAACATCCATCTATTTCTTCTTATATGTGCCCTGACTGGGGATTAATCGGGCACCCAGGCACGTCACCTGACTGGGAATTGAACTGGTGACCTTTTGCTTTGCTTGCTGATGCCCAATGTAGAGCCACACTGGTCAGGGTGACAAGTCAGAACTTTTTAGACAATGTTATTTAGTGTTATTTCTAACCTAAACCTATTAAAAGCTTATGTTAATGACAATGTGATTTTATGAACTGGATTTTTAAATAGTGTTTCTCTCTTGAATTGAAGACTGGAGATCACATTAATGCACCAGTGTCAACTCATCAGATGAAATCTCTGACATCAAAGACATTGCTATGTCACTTAGGGAAAATATTGAATTTGGGCTAGTCATCTCACCATTTAATTGCACTTTGTCATTCAAATTCACTTTTGCAGTTGGGCTTTTAGAGTCATATCACAGACACGTCCTGACTGTTAACCCAAACATTTTTCATTCTTTTGCCATCTTTGCAGGATGCATGTAGTGCTGTGGTTCATATCTGTTTCTACTTGCTTAAGTTTTAACTGGATTGTTGGGTTTCTACAATAACAAGTTAGATCTTTAATTCAATGTATGCTGGTTAGTTTTAGTTACGTTCATTAATTAAGATGTGTCATAACCAGTGGATTTAGTTATAAATGAGCATCAAGAAGCTGGCAGCTTTAGAGTCAAGGTGCCCTTTAAACATGAGCTCTCTTCCATGGACTTTCTAAGGGATCTTTAGGACCAGTTGATATCATAACTCGGGATGTGGCAGGGCTTAATGAGCATCATGCAGTATGTGTGTGAACAGAGGGGAATTTATTTGTACTTTGTGAAATAACAAAATACTTTCATTTTTAATTTTATATAAATTTGATATTAAGGCCTATTAGAGCGACAGTTGTTTAAAGATTGTACATTCATAAGTTTATAAGATACTTATTTGATTATATTTATGATTATTTTTAATTAACTACACCCTATAAAATGTCTTTAAACAGCCATGTTTCAATTAGTCATTCTTCAGTAAAATGTATCATTTTCTTAAAATCATGTATCCTTAGTGAACTTTCCCTCTTTGTACACAGGTTTTGGGGCATTTGTACTTATTTTCTGAGTCTGAATGGGTATCTTATGTGTGGATAATTTGTCTGGTTTTTTGCTGTATTTTTCTTTGGAATCAATCACAAGTTTCTCACATGCCTTATGAATATTATTTCTCAAAGAACTTGCTCTATGATGAGTTCAAATGTTTCACTTTTACACATTATTGTAACATTTTTGTAAAACATTTCAGTTTCTAAGAGAAAATCATAATTTATTTTCACTACTGATTTTACCAAATGATTTAGATAAATATACTTTGGGGTTATGCTATTTTTGCTTTAAAATACTTTTTACTCTCAAAATTAACCACCAGTATAGAAGACTTTTTCACTAATTTCTTAGTAACCTGTGAATGTCTACTTTTACAAAAAAAGGAAAGGAAAGAAAATGAAAGTAAAATATTTATGTAAAGCATTTATATTCTAGTCTGCTCAAAGTAAAAAGTGAGGGAGCATAGTTGGACAATTTTGAATGTCTTTAATACATTTAAACTGATTGCAACTTTAATGCAAATCCCTTTGAGAAGTGGGCAGCCATCTACTTGCAAATATGTTGTATAGTCCTCTCAACATTCTGAAGCTATAGACCTTGTTCAGATTAGTGGGTTAGAGCTGGAAGAATAAAAATGAAAAATCTGCTGTTACAGAACCCAGCATTGTCAGGTGATTCTTCTATTATTTAGACAAGTCTCTTGGGGAAAAAATAGCTTACACTTATTATAACATAGCAAGCCAAGTAAATGTTCTTGAGTCTGCCTTTATTTTTTGTTCCTTTTTGTTGCCATGGAGTTTTTGTATGGGGTAGGGAAGGAAGTATTCTAGGCCAGAGAACAAAGTTAGCTAAGCACCAAGTACAAGAAGTTTCTGCGAATGCTTGTGTGGTATGGCTTGGTCACTGTGGTAAAGTGAAATGGAACCAGTAGAATTTTTATAGTTCTAATGATTTCTAAAACTTATTTGTAAGTTTACCAACATACTTTCAAGGTGTATTTTTCTAGAAAGCAAACTTCTGCAGCAAAGAACTAAAAAAAAAGTGTTTGTATCTAGTACCTAGAAGGATCCAATTTCTTCAGCATATAATACTTGTCTAGCTTTGCCTCTTTCCATGGTTAATATTTCCTTTCCAAAAAATCCCTGTGACTATGTGACTACCTGATAAACTAAGCCCACACTTTGAACTTAGCTGAAATTACTTAGTCTTTAAGCAGGAGTTTACCTGATTATTTCTCAACACGTGGGCAAAAGTACACAAAAAATAACATAGGCGGTAAAAGGTGGGTTTACAGTCATGAGTAACCTAAGCACAAAGTTTATTCTTGCACGATTACTTATTAATTATTACAATATTTATTAAAATTAAAACACCAAACCTACTTTTTCCCTGCCTGTGTATGCATTATTACATATTTCATCAACTTATTTGAACTGGGAGTCTTAAATACCCATAACTGTGTTCACTGATGCATAAAGCAGAGGAAGGATTAAGAAACTCCTAGAGACCAACGGGAGACAAACAAGAGAATTCTTTATGATTTCTTGAGTACATGTTATAATAACATATTATACATATAAGTACTTCAATAAAATATCTTATAGAAAATGAAAGCAATATTTCTGTTCTCATGTTTAGTAAAATTTATAAATTATATCTAAGCAAAATCCTTTCCACTTACTTGAGGCTCTTAACTGCAGATTTTTATGGCACATTTAAGACTAGCATCTTCTTTCACCTTTATGAAAATGAAGAGTTCAAATGTATCATCCTTTAATTGGTTTTTATTGCTGCAGAGTAAATACATTTTGCCATGTCTGATTTAGACAATAGAAAAACTTAGAATGCTTCCCCTTGATTAATCTGAAGGTATGGCCCCAAAGGGACAAGATACACCTATTTAACAGGGCTCATGAATCTAGAGAAACAACACTCTTGTCTATACCCGGAGCACTGAACTTCTGATAACTCTTTCTTCACCATGCCTTCTTCAAGGACATTATTGCTGAATATCCCCATGTTCTAATGAGAATTGCCTAACATATGAGCAGGAAGCATGCTTGATGATGCAGTTAGGCTCACTGTACTCCGATCAGTGAGGAAACACCCTTACAGAATGCTGGATCATCCACCCTTGCTGATGATGCTTGGCGTACAAATTCTTTTAATGGACTTGGGTGGGTCAAAGTTATTTAAATGCCATTGGCTGTTGATCTTGCCCTCAACTGGTCTATAAGAATAAAGCTCACTCCTTTACACATATCTAATGAAAAACCACATCCCCACAAATTAACGATTGCCTGTTGCTCATAAAATTACTTGACCGTAAGTTATACAAGGGCAGGTTCTGTCTGATTCACTTTTGTACCTTTCATAGCACATTACATCAGTGCAAGACTGCTGAGTAGGTACATAAGCACAGAGCATGGAGTCATCAGAAGGGAATTTTGGGATAGTTTATATTTTATTTCTCCTACAAACTCCAAAAATTGTCAAGGTATTAAACCTGGATATCATCATGTTGAGTTTCCCTAATACTTACTTTGATAATGTAGTATTACACTTTCTTTTCATTTTATCTAAGGCTTACCATACTGTTTTTAGTGCTTAAGATCTTTAAATGTCTTAATCTGGCCTTGGATTCAACTAATATATATTCAATAAATATTTGTCAAATAAATACATAAACCAACTAACAAATAAGAGAAATCAACCAGTCAAGAAGTCAACTAGTGACTGATATCTTCTGTCCAGTACTACAAAGGAAAACAAAAGAGACATTTCTTAAAATAAACAAATTATATGTTCACTTTGTCTCAAGTTCATTCTTATGATGTCTAGAAGAGTTAAATACCTTGGAATTTGATGTGTAACCAAAACTGTTAAGTAACAGGAAGACCTCTTCATAAATGCAAGATGTTTTCCTTATAAAAATTATAAATTACTACATTCAGACCATTTTTGTTAAATGCAAAGAAATGTGAAACTGAATTAAAAGGAAAAGAACTAAAAATGCGTATAATTAGAAAATCATTGAACTTGGCATGCAATGTTGTATCTGGTTGTAGTTGGGTTTTGCTTTTGTTTATTTGTTTACTGTTGTTTTTGGTTTTTAATACATAAATGAGCTTCTGAAATAGAGATGAAGGGAAGAGATATTGAAGATTCACTTGAAGCAAATTATTCACTGTTTCCATTTTTTAATAAAATGAGCTTTAGTCTCATATAGATAAGAAGACTGAGTGACTTACCCCAATGCCCATAGCCAGGGGGCAAGAGTCTGAGAGGTACTCAGTGCACTTGACACCCCTGTATTCACCTCTAAGTAAATCTTCTTACAGCCTCCATGGAACATATTCCCAACTTATTTTGGTATCCAAAACACTCCCCTAATTACCAGACAACAACCTTCCCCTTACCCTAGAGACAAGGTCTGGATCATCCAGTATGATGTCCTTCAGTTTCCCTGTCCTAATCAATTGACTTTAATCTCCATCCTCTCACTCTTCCCTACCCTCTGTCTTCAAAGCCCTCTCTCTCTGCTGCTTCCCTCCTGCTCATCACATACCTCCAGCAAGTACTTTCTCAACCTCTCCTGTTTCCAATCAAAATCTCATTTTCTCCTCTTTCTCTGCCTTCAAAATTCGCATCTCCTTCTCCCCAAAAATCTCCCGGTACACTTCATCTTATTCTACTATCACTTCTGTTTCCTTATATCACCAGATTTCTCCAAAAAAGTGGCATCCTTACATCCTCTTCTCCTCCATCTTGTTCCCCACTCCTTGTCAGTCAGGAAGGCCCCATTCCATCCAACTGAAAGCATTCTCCTGAAGGTCACAGAAAAGCTCAGTGTTTCTCAGGATTCACCCTGTTCAACTTGTGTATGTCATCTGACACTTGTTTACCATCTATCTGTCTTTTGATTCTCCTTCCTTTGACACCCATGACATTGAATTATGTTTTCTTCCTATTTCTTTGGCCACTTCTTTTCTCTCTTTTGCTGTTTCTTGTTTATTGTCATGGTTCCCAGTCATATAAATGTAGGAATTCCCCTGGTTTCATCCTCAGCCATGGGCTATTTCTTTCCTGTGTTCTCTACTTCAGGGATCTCAAATTCTCCCATGAGTCCAACCTTTCTACCAAAGTGGGTGTCCCTCAAATCTGTGCATCAGGCCTAAACACTTGTTCATGGTGCTGACACATATTTCCAATTCCTATACATCTTCACCAGGCATTGCTCTGGTACCCCAAACTGGATGTGTTCTAACCTGCTTAATTGTGCTTCTGCCTTGCTCCTGATCTCCTAGTTTATAACCGCAATGGTCTCAGATTCTCCCCCTCATTACACCCACACACCGCTTGTTCTCAAACCCTGTCTATTTCAACCCAGCTCTATCTCCTCATGGATCTTTCCCAGTCTCATCTCTGGACTGACATGATGCAGAAATTCAACTGCTTTGGTTGCCTGTAATTACTGCCTCTTCCCACCACTTCCATCATGTTATCAGAGGCTTCATTAAAATCCACAACTTTATCATGTCTTTCTCATCATCAAGAAACTTCAGTATTTTCCTACTGTACAGAGATTTGATGTTAGAATTCAAAAAGTAACTGTATGAAATCTAGTTAATACCTATCACTTTATGAATGAGAAAACTAAAACTCAGAGAATGTAGGTAGTACATTGGACATTTTCTGAGTCCACCTAATGCTCCTTGAATCTCAACATTTTGCCTTAAATGTCAAAGAGTGACTTTGTTTTAGATTTAATTTTACACTCTGACCAAAAGGCATTATGGATATTTCAGTACAACATATTTTTAAGAAGACCTGGAAGTTTTTTTTTTATTGCTATTCCAATTGAGAGCCTCACTATACAGTGAAACCTACTTGGTCTTCTGCCTAAGTTGCCTCTCACAGCAAACAGAATGACCCAGTTTCATAAAGTGAGGAGGTTAGTGGCCTCTGGCAGGGTTCTCCAAACAAACAGTGGTGCTGACAGTTCAGTGTGGTGAGGGAAGTGCAAGAGAGAGGAGAGATGAATATGCAGTCCTGTAGCCATGAAGAATAGGCTTCCACACAGACAAACCCCACCTCCAACACCCACAAATGAGAGCAGTAAGTGCTCATGAGTTCATGGTAGAAAAAAGCACACAGGTGACCTAACATCATTTCAATTCTGCTCCCAAATGGGACCATAGCATTTTGGTTATTTGCCCAAAGCATTGGGCCATTCACTTTTCTTCTTCCCCTTCCTAGTATGACTATTGTTGCTTCCTAGTATGACTATTATTGTGCGTAAGCATTCCTAATCACAAGGATAATATGAGATTATATTAAAATTCAACATTTTTGGAGTTCCTAAAATTGTAATGTTGCTTCTCTGTAGTATATTTTATTTAGTGTTTTCCATAAAATTGGCTATCTTATACTTAATTGTAAAGCACACACCTCAAAGATATATTTAGGCTGAATAGTATTGGGTTGTATTAAGTTATTGAATTCAAAACCTCAATTTCTCATGTTTAAAATGAGATAATTAGGGTATTGACCACATGTTCTTGTTAAGATTAAATGCATGGGTTTCTCTAAACATGTCGTCTAGTATTTAGTTATCATTTAGTGAATTGTAAGGATGATAATGATAATGATTGACATTAACTATATACCATCAATATATAACTCCTACAATAAAAATATTATCTTTTTTAAGATTTTACTTATTTTTTTAGAAAGGGGGAAGGGAGGGAGAAAGAGAGGGAGAGAAATATCAATGTGTGGTTGCCTCTCACGCACCCCCTACTGTGAACTTGGCCAGCAACCCAGGCATGTTTTCTGACTGGAAATCAAACTGGCAACCCTTCCAGTTCACAGGCCAATACTCAGTCCACTGAGCCACACCAGCCAGGGCAAAAATATTATCTCTTTAAACTACACATATTAACCATAAGTACAAATTTTCTTAAATTATCAACGATGTGATTTAAAAATATACTTAGACATTAAAATTTATTTTAATTTAATGATGAAATTAAAGCTCATATGTAGTCATTACTATATTTTGAATATACTATTATTAGTATTTTTAAAATATAAACCATAATTTTATCTTTTGAGTAATACAGATAGTGTGTATTTATAACAACAGTTTTCATACTTTGCAATACTAAAATTAATTGAAGTTGAAGTTTAAAATATCTTATTTAGGCAGAGACAAGAACTAAAGATTCACACTCTATTTATTAATTTTGAGTGCAATTTTTTTTTGTTATTCAGCTACAATTGTCTTCATTTTTCTCCACCACTCTCCCCTGCCCTACACAAGCCCATTTCCCACATTCAGTCCTACCACTCTCCCGAAGGCTTTATCCATGTATCCTGTGTACACGGTCTTTGATGACCCTTCCCTTTCTTTCCCCAGTTACCCTCCTCCTCTATCCCCTCTGGTTACTGTCAGTTTGTTTTTTATTTCAATGTCTCTGGTTATATTTTGTTTGTTTGTTTTGTTAGTTAGATTCCAATTATAGGTGAGATCATATGGTGTTTGTCTTTCTCTGCCTGGTTTATTTAACTTAGTGTAATGCTCTCCAGTTCCATCCATGCTGTTGAGAAGGGTAGAAGCTCCTTTCTTTGTTGCATAGTATTCCATTGTGTAAATGTACCACAGTTTTTTGACCACTCGTTTACTGATGGGCACTTAGTCTGCTTCCAGCACTTGGCTATTGTAAATAATACTTCTATGAACATTGGGATGCCTAGGTTCTTTTGAACTGGTGTTTCAGGATTTTTAAGGTATAATCCCAGCAGTGGAATTGAAAACCATAAAAATCCTAGAAGAAAATATAGGCAGTAAAATCTCGGCAATTGCTCTTAGAAATTTTTATCAGATATATCTCCTAAGTGAAATAAGCTAGTCAGAAAAAGACACATACCATATGATTTCACTCATATGTGGTATCTAATGAAGAAATTTAAACAGGCAAAACAGAGACAAACTCATAGATGGAGAACAGATGACAGCTAGTGGTGCAGGGGAAGGTGAGGGAGAGGGATTGAACAAAAAAGGGGAAAAGACTCATGGACATGGACAGCAGTGAGATGATGGCTGAGGGAAGGGAATATAAAGGGATAAAATGGTAATGGAAAAAATACAACAAAGATATATTTAAAAAACTTATAAATGCAAAATAGCCTTCAAATTCACACCTAATTTTTTAGGAAGACATTTTACAATGCCTTAGGCATGCTCATATATTATTAAACTTAATACTTAACATAAGTGTTGTGTTTTTAGAAATGCTTTTGGTTTTTGGAGAAAAATAAATTTAAAAACCCTGATTTAACATGACAAATCATATGTAAAAGTCAAGGCCATAGCTGAGCTGAAAGTAGGCAGAGTTGCACTTGACGAGCTCACTTATTTAATGCAAGAGAAAAAAACTAATGATGGTTGCTTACCCAGCAATTAGTACCCACACTCTGAAATGTCTTCTCCTTACTATGGAAGAAAGCATGTATATCATCACCGTTGATTAGTGTGAACATTAAAACATCAAATATGAGCTCATTTATACATAGAGAAAATTATTTGGTTTTATTTTAGAACTTTATATCTCGTATTTCAAAGCAAATAATAAATTTTTCATCTTAAGACTTTCAAGAATAATGAAAATTCATTCATTTAGAATTAGAAAATTAAGAAGCGAGCATTCTGGAGCTTTCCAGTTACTCTTTGCTATGCTTTCTTCACCCAAACATGTTTTTTTGTACTTTCATCTGAGTCTACTCAGAGTCTAAAACTATAGTCAAAAGTTTGAGTTTCATAACTTACTGTTGAACATCGCTAAATATCTCCAGCTCTTCGGGCACAGGATTTACGGACAGGAGCCTGTTTTCCAACCCAGTGGATATAATAACCACTGGGTTCTACCTTCAAATGTCCTCACTCATGTGAGTATCTGTATCTTCATAGGCTAAAAATGGGGGGGGGGAAGGTTAGAAAGTAAAAAGTAATAAAAAGAAGAAGAGCAAAATTAAAAAGTAAAAACTAAAAGAAAAAAATCATTATCATCATTATCAGACCTGAGAGATTAAACCAGCTTCACCTGCTATATAGACCAAGAAAGTAATTTTAATGACTCACATTTGATTTTTTAATGATTTGGTAACATAAATTGTAAAACATTTATTTAAAAGTTAAACATTGTATTTATCATATTTTTTATAGGTGGTGGTGGAAGTTAACAGTGAATTTCAAATCCAGGTAATGTATTTTCCAGGAAAATTTATTTTTTCAATTTAAAAATGAGGAAAATGGTTCAAAAGTAACAACATATCCCAGCCCCCTTCAAAAAACTCATTCTTATAAATAAAGTTAATGTTTTGCTGAAATTAGTAGAATTTTGAAATTACCAATCTTACCAAGTAAGCATCCTTTCTGCCATTGCAATTACCCCTCCTACCAATTTTTAGTGGAACATGAATTATGAATAGAAGCTAATAGGTACCATTATTTACCCTGCCCATTCAAGGTAAGGGATTATAACACTAAAAATGGCACCATCAAGTGGCATTCAATCAAAAGGCAAAAGCGTGAATGGATCAAGTTCGCTGCAGCCTGTCGTGAAGGAGAAGACAACTCAAAGAGGAACCCAATAGCCAAGGTCAGTCTCAACCCCAAAACATGCAATTAAAATCAAAATGGATGAAGTTAAAGTTTCAAAATAACCTGTCTTTTAAATATTTTATGAATGTATCTCACTGAGAAGTTATGATATAAAACAGAACAATACTCATTCAGGTTTGAAAAACTGAAGCCATTAGAAGGATTAATTAAGATTTTTAGGCACTCACATAGTTAAACGCTGACTCACCGTACTGGTGAAATTAATACACATGATCATGTGTTACTCTAAACTCTAGATTTTAAAACTATAGTGATTTAAGTAATGAATTTACCACTCAGCACATTTAGAGGAACTATTTCAATACATGCTCATTCTACCTCATAATCTATTAGAATTAAATCCTGCTTTTGGTTTATGAAGATTCACAATGTACTGTCTTTTGTAACCTTTTTCCTTTCACTTTCCTTTATGTCTTTGTAAAGAGCATACACAGGCACACACTCAGTAACACATCCCCCTGCACTGATTCACTCATAATGAAACTATTTATATACATACATACACAGACATTTCTAGAGCTGTCTGGAAATACACTGACACACATTCAAGCATAGCACTATCACATGATATACATAAGAGACACACCCCATGCAATAATTTATTTCAAATCCAACTGTCCTGGTTCCTACAACCATTTATTTAAAGTCATTTCTTTATTTTTCTGCTAAAACATCCCCCCATTTCCAGAATTCAGAGTTGTATGGAGATATACAGTCTTCTCTTACCTAGATAAATTCATCATGGTCTTCTTCCTAACCACATTTAAAACCTTTTTGAATGGGAAGATAAAAGTTAGGTAATAACAACACTAGTCAACTGCTTAAGATCCATGGACAGCCCTGCTCCAGACCTAGTGAGACTAATATGAGACTAATTGAGTCTCTAGCCTGAGACTAATACGATCAAATTGTAAATGTTAAATGATTGCATGAACACATAAATCATAACTGCATAGAATTAGATGTATTAGGATGATATCTTACTTTTTTATTTTTTGGAAGAAATATAAATTAAATTTTTCTTTTACATTTACAGTTATCATTGAAAATCTAGAACTGTAACTACACCAGTTATCTATTAAAATAATTCTCTACCTTCAGAATTTCCCCCCAAATAACGGGCACAGAATGCTCAACACTAGTCAAAAAAGACAGCAATTACATATCAAATGTAACAGACTTATTTTGCATCCTGTGATATTTTTAAACGTGCTCTCTCTGCAGATTCATTCAGATTGTGCGGCCAACCAGCAAGTTACATACCACATCTCTGGAGTAGGAATTGATCAACCACCTTATGGAATCTTCGTTGTGAATCAGAAAACCGGTGAAATCAACATAACATCTATAGTTGATCGAGAAGTCACTCCATTTTTCATTGTAAGTGGGTGCAGTGTCAATATACAAGCATATGTTCAGGCCTAAATTACTTTGGCATTACCTCAAGCTCAGCTCATGCTGCACTTCATTTCAAGAGTGTCAGTATAGGTGTTTTTGGTTGTCTCTTAATTCTTGAGCAGCTGTGACCCAGAGACACACAGAGAAGGCTGAGAGGCAGATGAGTGTTTTGCTTAAGTGCCTTAGCAAAAATGCTAACCTTGATCTGGCCTCAGTGGCAGGCTAGAGCATTTGCATGGAAGGGCAAGTACTCAACCTTTCCTTCTTTTTCTTTTTTTTTAATTTTAATAACATACAGTTGAGAATGTTGGTCTCTGGTAACTCCAATGCCAAGCGATGATTCTATAGCTACCGCAGGAGCCTTCTCTGAGTGAAGGCACTTTAGGATAAAATGCACGTTGCTCAAGGTCAGCTGAGCCCAGGATGTGCCTTGGAAAGACTTAGTTCCTCTTTAACAGAATCTTACTCTATTCCTTACAGTAGCTGTGACCCAGCTTAAGTGCTCACTCTTCCAACCCTTAACTTCATTCCTATTTTAAGCAGCTGACCTCAAGCCAAATTCTCAGACTAAAAAATCCAAGTCCTCCTACAATTAATTCCTACAAATCAACAAACTCCAACAACTAATTCTCTCCACATGCTCAGATATGTTCTACATTAAATCCAAAAGCAAGATGAATTTTCTATGTTTTTAAAATATATCTCAAGAGTTTCCATTGTCTCATAATCATCTGGTATTGAGGAATCTTATTCTATCAACTTTGACTTTTCATGTTTCTTCTGCCTGCTCTGTAGGTTGCTTCCATCATGGTTCACACTTATTAATACTTAAAATGGAAAATAAAACCTTCCTCAATCTAATAACCTCTTCTATGAAAACCTCTTCAATCCATCTCCAAAAATGCCTTCAGATAGTAATCTGTGCTTGTTGCTTTCACTCATACAGCTTGTCTGTATTCCTAAGACTATTTTAATTCTTTGGTCTTCTCTTCCTAATTAATATTCCTTCTTTGTTTTCCACACTGTTTTCCCAAACACTCAAAATCTGCATGCCAGACTGTTAGCTTTTGTGAAAATATGATGTTTGTATATGAAACATACCAAATAGGTTAAATCGTATACATTATACTTTTGTACACACCTAATATATCAGTAATAACGATAATATAAGCCCCATATAGCCACCACCTAGCTATGAGTGCTGTTTCTTTGAAGCCCCCATGTGACTCTCTGTTACCACACCCTGAAACCCATTCCTCCATATTCCTACATTCAAACCTGCATTTTCATCACTTAGTTTACTTCCTTGCATGAATCCCTTGGCTTGGAACAACCTGACAATTTCCAGCACCACCTGCGGAAGTACTCTTTTAAGATCTGTCTCAACCATTGCATCCTCCTACCATATCATAGTGTTCTTGTTCTTCCTTTAATTGGTGATCGCATTACCTTTTCTCACATGGTATTCTGAGTTCATGTTTGCCTCCCCTTGTTGGTTGTAAGTACTGCCCGTGCTTACATTTCAGTAGGAAATAAAGTCTCATTTTCCTTTTAGCTATATGTAGCCTAGTATAGTTTCCAAACAAAGTAAAAACTTAATATTTGTTGCATCACATAATTCTTCTTCTTTCCTGTTTTTCTCTAGATTTACTGCCGGGCTGTGAATGCTCAGGGCCAGGATTTGGAGAGGGTTCTTGAGCTCAGAGTTAGGATTTTAGATATAAATGACAATCCTCCCGTGTTTTCTATGTCTACATTTCTAGGGCAAATAGAAGAAAACTCTAATGCAAGTAAGTAATCAACTTTATTAAATAAACAAGAGTATGTTGGCTTTCAGACCATTCTAAACAGCCAGTCAGCTTGAGGCTAAATGCTGTCAGTGTGCACAGCACAAATGTAACAGGTCATTACAGAAAACCAAGCAGAAGACAGAGGCATGAGGAAATCTCCATAAAGGCTTTCCCTTCGAGGGCAGAAGCAGCTCCAATCTGTCAAATCAAGGAGCAACTCCAAAGTAATGAAAAGCGTTTTCTCACCTAATTTACATATAAGCTGTGTCCTGGATTTCTAAGGAGAAATTCCAAAAGGACTCTGCACAGTGTCGGCGCGGCCCCTGGGTGGAGAATTCAGCCTCCCAGCCTATTTTAAAGGGCAGTATCATCCACTTTTATTCATGCTGCCTTTTAAAAAATCTTTCTTTAAAAAAACTACTTTAAAATCACCCATAGAAATCACTTACGGGCAATTTATTTTGTGGCACAATATTCAAGAGCTTTTTTGACAGCAAATAAATGCAAAAGAAGTATTCTGAATAGATAAAAGATAGATGATGATAAATAGATAGATAGACTGGCACAAATAACACCCCTTTTTATTACATAAAATGTTTTATTACAAAATACCAAGCATATAATTCTGTAACATAACAATATCACACTCAAGCACTGCATATGATATTTTAGGGGAAATGTTCAATGTGTTGTCAATCTCCTGCAAGACAATCACATACCCTACCAACCACACACAACAGTGTTACTTCTTTGGGACACTAAATATATATATATTTGTTGTTCTTATTCTTGTTGTAGTTTTGGCTTTCTATTCAAGCTACTGATTTTATGCATTTAAAATGTATTATAAACCAAATCCTATTTGCACCCCCCCATGCACATTTAAAGCGGAATGTCTCAAGTGGTACAAATTGAGGGGCACCAGAAAATCTGTAACTAGACAGAGCATCCACCTGCAAAGCTGTGACCATCCAAAGGTGCGATGGTCTCCTTATGGATCACTGTAAACGGCAACATTTTAACTGCCAAATATTCAGTCCCTTGGAAGGGACAGTATATCAACTGCATAGCACAGTATTGACGGTTGTGCTACACTTATGAAAAAGAGCAGAGATCATTTTCATTTGAATTTTTATCAGAATTTAACTCACCATAGTTACTTTTAATATTTAAGTGGTATAACTTCTTATAAATTAAGAAATCCTTACACTTGACTTTATGCATTAAAATATGTTCCCTATAGTATAAACGGTTAAAATATCATTTAAAAAATGTGTTTTAAAACCATTCACACAACACGGGTAGTAAAAATGGATTGGAAATTTGGCTTTTTTCTTTTCACTAGCAAGTACTGTCATTAGTTGCATAAGTACATATGTTCTATAATTACATAGACATATACATGCATATTTGGGGGAACTTTTCTACCTATTAGCATACAATGTGGATGTTGATTCAAGCATATTTTGAACATTTTTCTATAATAAGTAATATAGGTTTCTTCAGTCCTTTTGACAGTTGCATCAGATTAAAACAGTTTGAGTGTACAAAAATTCTAGTATATGAACACTGGCAAGTTTTCATATTCTCTGGTGTCTTTTGTCAAAACTACTTATAGGATTAAAGGTAAAGATGAGGGATAAGACAAAGTAACTAGTTAAATAAACTTCTCTTTAACACACCTAGTTACCCAGCACTAAACTAGAAACCATACAAAACAGAACAGTAATATAAATTTACTGAGTATGCATTATTCAGTAGGAAGTGTATATAATTTTCTCTCTTTAAGCTGCTTAATCCTCTCATGAACTCAAAGAGGATAGTCCGATTATCATTCACATTTACAGATATGGAAACAGAGGCCAAGGTTATATATCAAGAAAGTGCTAGGAAGTTGACAAACTATTGGTCTGGCCTTAGGATCATTTTGTTTCATCACAGTGACCTTAAAACAATGCCATTATACTAGAATAGAAAATGGAATAGCAGGATAAAACATTTCTCTGTTTTCTAACTATCAGTAATATCTGATAGTTCTTGGTAAAAGGTGATGTTTTGTCAATGCAAAGGTATGGAGAGGAGCTGATATATGACTATGTTAGAGAAGGAGAAAGAAAAATGGTAGAGTGCACATCATATGAACCAACTAACCCTAACACCTTGTCGAAAAAGTCATATACTGTATTATAACAAAAATGCAAACTGTCCACCTGCAGTCAATTTTCCTCATATTCTAGATACGCTGGTGATGAGACTCAATGCTACTGATGCGGATGAACCCAATAATCTGAACTCGAAAATAGCCTTCAAGATCATAAGCCAGGAACCTTCTGATTCACCCATGTTTATTATCAACAGAAACACTGGAGAAATTCGAACAATGAATAATTTTCTAGACAGAGAGGTAATTCCCTTTTTAAAATGAGTTGTTAGTTCATGTGAATTGATTCTAAAAGCAAGAGTAAGAGAGAAAAAAGGAAACTGTACTTTTAATTTTTATATGTATAATCTTTTCACATAATGGCAATGATATAATAACCTATTTCAAATGAAGATATGGGGATTCCTCACATACATTTCATACTGTCATTTTTTAATTTAATTTTACTTCAGATTTGCCTCGAATTAAGAAAACTGTATTCTGAGAGTACATAAAATATGTTTTCAGTATTTTGCTGTTACATCCGCCACCTCTGAGAGTCAATGCATGACCATGGTCAAGGCTCCAAGAAATTTTACAGGCTAAGCAACTTGTTTACCTTTTTTTAATCCAGCACATTTTGAGCTCCTCTGACAAAAATCTTTTGCTTGCTGTGTCACACTTACTGACAGCCCATGGATTCCTTTGAAAAATGAATCAACAGAATGATTGATAAAAATTAAGCAACATCCAAATCAATGTTGCATTTAGAAATAGGAAAACAAATCAGTGACTTATACTTGTTAGAAAGTTACAATCAGAAGAAATTGACTATTTAGCTCTTTCTCAAAAGAGTTTTAGCAATGAAGACAAGAAAGAGGGAAGGAACTCTGCATTTACTGGGATGCCATAAGAGCAGATATTCTTTTTTTTTAATATAGTTTATTGGTTATGCTATTACAGTTGTCCCATTTCTCCCACTTCACTCCCCTCCACCCTGCACACCCTCTCCCACCAACATTTCCCCCCTTTAGTTCATGACCATGTGTCATACTTGCAAGTTCTTTAGCTTGGACATTTCCCATAGTGTTCTTCCCCTCCCCCTGTCTATTCTCTATATATCATCTATGCTACTTATTCTCTGTACCTTTTTCTCCTCTCTCCTCCTCCCACTCCCTTGTTGCTAGCCCTCCATGTGATCTCCATTTCTGTGGTTTTGTTCCTGTTCTAGTTGTTTGCTTAGTTTGCTTCTGGTTTTGTTTTAGGTATGGTTGTTAATAATTGTGAGTTTGCTGTCATTTTAATGTACATGTTTTTTACCTTCTTTTTCTTAGATAAGTCCCTTTAACATTTCATAAAATAAGGGATTGGTAATGATGAACTTCTTCAGCTTAACCTTATCTGAGAAGCATTTTATCTGCCCTTCCATTCTAAATGAAAGCTTTGCTGGATAGAGCAATCTTGGATGTAGGTCCTTGTCTTTGATGACTTGGAATACCTCTTTCCAGCCCCTTCCTGCCTGTAAGGTCTCTTTTGAGAAATCAGCTGACAGTCTGATGGGAACTCCTTTGTAGGTGACTGGCTCTTTAGCTCTTGCTGCTTCTAGGATTCTCTCCTTCATTTTAATCTTGGCTAATATAATTATGATGTGCCTTGGTGTGTTCCTCCTTGGGTCCAACTTCTTTGGGACTCTCTGAGCTTCCTGGATTTCCTGGAAGTCTATTTCCTTTGCCAGATTGGGGAAGTTCTCCTTTATTATTTGTTCAAATAATTTTCCCATTTGTTGCTCTTCCTTTTCCCCTTATGGTACCCCTATAATTTGGATATTGGAATGTTTAAAGATGTCCTGGAGGTTCCTAACCCTCTCCTCATTATTTTGAATTCTTATTTCTTCCTTCTTTTCTGTTTCGGTCTTTCTTTTTTTCCTTCTGGTCCCCTCCCTTGATTTGAGTTCCAGTTTCCTTCCTGTCCCTATTGGTTTCCTGTACATTTTCCTTTATTCCACTTAGCATAACCTTCATTTTTTCATCTAATTTGTGACCAAATCCAACCAATTCTGTGAGCATCCTGATCACCAGTGCTCTGAACTGTGCATCTGATAGGTTGACTATCTATTCATCACTTAGTTGTATTTGCTGTGGAGCTTTGATCTGTTTTTTCCTTTGGGCCATTTTTTTTTGTCTTGTCACGCCTGTTACATAGTGAGGGGCGGAGCCTTGGGTGTTCACCAGGGTGGGGCAACCCACGTAACTGGGTTGTGACCCTGTCTGTGGGGGCGAGGTCCAAGAGGGAACAATGGCACTTGCTCCAGATTTCAGTCACTTTCACTGCTTCCCCCAAGCAAACTGGGCTCTTCTGGTGCTGATTTCCGTGTGGGTGGGTTTGTGTGCATTCTGGGACTCTGTGGGTCTCTCCAATGAACTCTCCTGCAAGGCTGAGAGCTTCTCCCTGTGCCTCAACCCCCACAGTTGTTTTCAGTGTTTTGAGGCTTTATTTCCCCAAGCTGGGACCCTGAATTTCAAGGTTTATCTCGCTCCCCAGTTTCACCTGGTTTATCTGCATGCAAGTGGGGGACCACGGGGCCCGCTAGCCAGCTTGCATGCCACGCGCCTCCACAATTCGCCACCTCACTGGGCCCGCCAACTGCTGCCTTGTACACCCGGGGTCCGTCCGCCAGCCACTGTTGGGTTTTTTTTTTTTGTTTTTTTTTTTGCCAGACCCCTCTCCTTCCAGCTGCCCAACTCTGCCCCTCCTACAGGTCTGGATGAATGTGTCTACTTTAACTCTGTGGTTGTCAGACTTCCATACAGTTCAGTTTTCTGTCAGTACTGGTTGTTTTTTTGTTTCTAAATTTTTGTTGTCTTAATTTTGGTTGTTCAAGGAGGCACAGTGTGTCTACCTACACCTCCATCATGGCCAGAAGTCCTTGTGCATGTTTCTTGAAAAGCAGTCATAACCCTTACCAGTTTCTAAAAATTTAAGCACCATTTAGTAGAATCAAAAAAACAGATCATCAATAATTCCACTGCCACAACCATTCCCCAAAGTGCAAACCATTTTTATCTCTTTATTTTTTCCATAACAAAGGCCTACTTATCAAAGGTATGACATTCTTAAGCCAAAAATCTTGATAAACCATAATCTCTCTCCTCCTGATCATCTTAAATCACGCTATCCTTTACAAACATTTTTCAAATGAGAGCGTAAAATAAGGAATGTTGCTTTTATAAAATGAGGCTGGGTAAATATTTTGGAAACTAGAAGTGGCAACTTTCAAGTTGATTCATGTAAGGTTTGTGAATTGTCAACAATCTGTATTACCCTTATCACCACCATAGATTTAAGTAATTGTGGAGCCAACATTTTAAAAGAACTTTGCATGAGACCGAATCAGGACTGTCTGAGTCAACTGTGCTGTGCTTTGTGATCTGTGTTTCAGCAATACGGCCAATATTCTCTTGCCGTGAGAGGCTCAGACCGAGATGGCGGGGCAGATGGCATGTCAGCACAGTGCGAGTGCAGCATTAAAATCCTCGATGTCAATGACAACATCCCCTACACGGAACTGTCTTCAGTAAGTGTTTGTCTTTGAAATTAATAATTTTTCACTCACCGCACTCTAACATTTGTTTGAATATTCCTACTCATAGATGTATCTGTTATCCTTAGTCACATACAACCCAAATGTACATGTGCACTTTGCCAGTGCTTGTTTATTAAATGCACAGAGGAAAACATTTGAAAAATGAAACATTTGACTATAAACACAGATCCCTTTTCTAAATAATGGGTAACTATAAACATTTAATATAAGTCTACTACAGTTCTCTCACTCACATGCTTGGTCTTATTTTTTTTCTTCTCGTTTCAGTATTCCATAACTGTCAAAGAAAATGCTTTGTATTCAGAATTGCTCAAAATTAGAGTCATTGATTTGGATGAGGAGTTTTCTGCTAACTGGATAGCAGTAATTTTCTTTATCTCTGGAAATGAGGGAAATTGGTTTGCAATAGAAATGAATGAAAGAACAAATGTGGGAATTTTAAAGGTTATTAAGGTATGGTATCATTATATTAAATATTTTATTCTCCTTGTCTTTTTGCAAATGTTAATCTTAAAATAAAGTATTAAGATGCCAGAAATATGAGCCAGAAAAAGAAAGGAATTCCTATTTTAAAAATGGTATATGCAATAGAGCTTTTTCACAGATAGTATTTAGGCTTATATAATTTTATGAAAACAGGCCTTGAATTTTAACTTGAAACACTTTATCAACACAGTAATCCATCATAGATCATATGAATTGAAAGAATTTTCAAACAAGAAAATTATTTTATCCTTACAAAAAGGCATGGTTAATCCTTAGGGGTTTTTTTAAGACTATTTATAAGAATATTTTTTAAATCAGATTTAACATTGCCTTTAAAAATTGTGTGTGACAACATATATGACAACTGTTATGCATTAAAAATATTCACCAAAAAAAAAGAATATTCACCATCGAAATGAAAGTTCTTCATTCTTCCAGTGTCTTTTTATGAAATTAAATAGCTCTAACTGCAGAATCACCTTCCTGTCTCCTTGTGGCTGCTGACCCAACTTTCTTATGACATAAATGCACCAGAGATTCGGTCCAAGTCCCTAGAGCTCTCCTGTGCCCCCTCACACTAGTGATGCACCACATTCCCCTGCAGCAGCATTTCCTCTGAGAGATGAGGGGCCAGGTCGGGCCCCTAGGGAGCTGGGAGGGAAAGTTCCACCCTGTGCTGCAGGACCTACCCAGTCTGCATGGATATTCGTGAAAGCTGTACATGGACTGTACGTGGTGTGCGCACTGTGGACCTTTATAGTAAAATGGAATTCCTTTCCCACTCTTTCCTTCCTTCAGAATAGTCCTCAGAAACAGACTCCTAAGGAATTCTGTCCTCCTAGCAGTGTGCGATCACTTGTTTCATGTCTTCATAAAGCGTCAGCACGTCTACAGCTTCCCTTTAGTGAGGCCATGAGCAGAGGCTTTGGGCTGCTCCTCACAGCATCCCTGCCATAGGTGATGTGCCCACATAACAGATAAACGCATTGGGGTTCAGCGAGAGCACTAACCTGCTGGAGGTCTCATCACTAGTGAGTGGTAGTGCTGACACTCAAACCCACATCCCTCTGGCTATTGAGTCCATATTCTTTCCACTACACTACCTGGGATTCCATGCTGGGGAAACTGAGTCCTAAACTGTTCCAGAGAAAACATCCATGTTACTTTAGAAAATTAATCTTTCCTCACTATCTCTACCTGTGAAACAGGAATGACTTTGATTTTTCTCCCATATATGGCATCACATATTATTTCCTTTTTATGATTATAAACTATATATAATATGCATTTGTATTTCTGTGTAATGTACATGTATACATAGTTTTATAGCCATTCTTGGAACTGCAACACAGACAATATTAGACCAAAGACCAAACATTTTTGCTAAGTGAAGAGTTCAGTTTGTGAATAAATGGTCATCTAAGTTACTCTCTTCTGAAAATTTAGAAAAACATATTTGGTATAATGCATAGTTAGGGGATTTTTCATAAAATGAAAAATCAGCTATATCCAGGAGCTGATATTGAAACCCCCTTTTATAATAAAAATGACTACTTGATTATTTTATAAGATGAAATAATTTTTCCAGAATATCCTGAAAATATAAGCATTTCTTCTTCATATGTATATGTATATGTATATATATATATACATATATATACATATATATATATACACACACACAAAAAGACACCAGACTTATTGCAAGAAGTCACATTTATAGAACTGAAATTCTTCTAAATTGTTCTTCATGGACAAAGCATGAAATGGTAGAAACTACAATGTATCCTCCCATAATTTGTGTATATGGAACTACTTTCTGAATAACATGAAATGATATGAGCTGACATAAACTGTCTTTGCACTACAAAATGCAGGGATTGACCGTCTTTATTAAGTTTTTAATTTGTTCAACAATTAGGACTCGTGTCATACATTGTCAATTTTTACAACAAAGGATCTAAAACAATTGGATTTTTTCTTGCTATGTATATTTTATGTGTTTGTACTGAATTAGAGGTAAAGAAAGAATATACTGTATATTTATATGTATCTATATTTAATTTTAAAAGAAGCCTAAAGTTTTCTTTGCTTACTATCAAAGAATGTCTTTTGCTTCTACAATTTCTTTTCTTCTGACAGTAAAATTATTTCACTCTGTATTTTCTAGCCCCTAGATTATGAAGCTGTGAAGAATCTACAACTTAGCATTGGTGTTAGAAATAAAGCTGAATTTCATCATTCCATTATGTCCCGATACAAGGTCACAGCGACTGCAATCTCAGTGACTGTGTTAAATGTAATTGAAGACTCAGTATTCCGTCCAGGTTCAAAGACATTTATAGTAACTCGTAATATGGAACAAAATTATAAAGTGGGAGAATTTGTAGCTATTGATCTGGATACTGGTGGCCCTTCAACAACTGTTAGGTAAGACTGACATTTTCAACTCATTTTCATCACATATTGAATTAAATACATATGTTCTTTTTAGAAATGTTAAGTATGAATTAAAATATTTTTCATTATTTAAAAGCCATCCTTTAATAATAAAAACACTAACTACTGAATTATTACTTAATTTAGAGTATTTAAGAACATATAAAAATTGGTGCAACATGTAAGATGTAAAAGTGTGAAGCTATTCATTGTGGAACTATTATATCTTTAGAGTTTCACACACCTGCATTTATACATTTCGTTGACCAATTAGCTGATCACCACATATCAAGGTTACTTTCCCTGGAAGGTTGCATGGACTGATTTCCCCATTGCCTGTTTGCCCAGATTGAGATCCATTAGATTTAGTTACTCTCTTTGCTTTAATCAGCACTTAGTTGGTATTGGCCTTTGATAACTTTGGTCTGAAAAATGAGGTTGATTAAAGGAAAGTCAGGTGATGTAACTTTTTTAACTTTGCATATCCAAACATTTCTCCTTGATCATAAAAATCTGTGTGACTGCGTGCACGTCTGTTTTACACAAGTGCTTGTGATCCAGCATCACAGTGGGGAAAGGCCTCACTACTGAGTTCTGAAAGGTCTCTGTCTGTGCTCTTCTCACACCACGTGAGCACTGCTGTTAGTGCTCTCATCACACTGTCCCCCCACTGCTGATAAAGTCCTCACCACCTGCAGACCTGAGTTCACTGAGGGCAGGTCACCCCCAACCCCCACCCCTGGGTCCTCTTAAAGTTCTTGTCCCTGAGTTTGGCCCAACCCCCGAGACAAAAAGTTACTAACCAGTATTTCCTTAACAAATGTAAATGAGGGGAAAAGACATGGAGGTGGAAGATGAGGAGGAGAGAAAAGAAAACAGAGAATAGGACAGGAGCACAAGGAAAGGACATGCATAGTTCAGAATTCAAAAGAAGTTCTGTGAAGTCATTGTGCATATGAAGATGGAGAGTGGAAATAGGGAGGCCGAGCTAATGATGAAGTAACTTCTGTGGTAAGAGAATACTTTAGAATTGTTAATGAGCTCAGGAAGTCCTAGGATCAGGGTCTTCCAGGATAGCACTGATGGTACCAAAGTCAAATGAAGTGAGACTGCAAGTATCAAAGGGAAATTCCGACAACCAAGTGGGTATAAGAGACATTCCACCAGGAGTGGCTGCTCAGAAACTCTTTTTTCTTAAGTTTACATCTTTGTCTATTTCTCGGTGTCCTCAAACACCTGGAACTGCCCTGAAAAAAAAATTGTCTCTAATAACTGAAAAGTATATGCAGGGATCATAACTGCTGACCCACTGACTGGAAACATTTTATAACCAAACATTTTATAAACAAAATCTCTCTCTCCTATTAGAGAGCTGACATTAATTTGTACTGTTATCTTTCAAATACAGATATGTAATGGGAAATAATCCAGCTGACCTGCTCGCTATTGACTCAAAGACAGGCATCATTACTTTGAGAAAAAAAGTTACCTGGGATCAATATCATATGCTTAATGGGAAATACAAAGGAACAATTCTGTCTATAGACGGTAAGAGATTAATTAATCAGTTTATTTTTTTTCCTTCTGGATGAAGTTATATATATACTCAGAAGTTAAAATTTAATCATTGCATTTTGAAGTAATTATCTTACTAACAAAACTTGTTATATTGGGTATTGTATAACTAAATCTTTAATGATATGAAAGGCAGTATAATTTAGTGAATAAGACCATGAGCTCTGGAGTGAAACTGGATTGGCATCTTGTACTTACTAGGTACAGGATTTTAGAGAAGTTATTTAACCCATCTTTTCCCCTCACCCTTCAATATGCATTTGAGTTACTACATGTAAAGCACTTAGATGTTCAATAACTATTAGCCCTTATTAATGTAAATAATTGAATATTTTAAATTGTATGTTTTGTAAAATTATTTTCAAATAGTCCAGAAGCCAAGCTAACTGAACTTTACATAATCTTTAAAAAGTTGATGTAAAACTTTGTGTAAACAACATGCTTATATTACTCTTCAAAACCAATAAAATTAAATGAGGCTGGTCACTGAAGGAGGGAAGTTCCTCAGGGTAATGCTAGTAAGCAGTACTTGTCACTTTAGTCATCTTCCTCCCTCTCTTTTTCCTCTTCAATCATCCTAAAACAGGGTTGACAGTTTCCACTTGCTTGACAAATGAGAAAATAAAAATAATAATAAAATAACATTTTAAAAATCATTAAACAATTCAAAATTATAATTTTTTCCACAATCAATCAAAAATAAATGTAGTGCCTGGCTGGTATAGCTCAGTGGACTGAGTGAGGGCTGTGAACCAAAGGGTAGCTGGTTTGATTCCCAGTCAGGGCACATGCCTGGGTTGCAGGCCAGGTCCCCAGCAGGGGGCACGCAAGAGGCAACCAAACTTGATGCTTCTCTCCTTTCCCCTCTCTCTAAAAACAGATAAATAAAAATTTTTTTAAAATAACTACATGTAGTTTTAAAACTAATATTACAAATAAAAATGTGATTCCATCTATTATTATATCTTATTTTGATTCAGTGCTGAAATAGGCTTAAGTAATTACTAGTTTACTCCTTTCTTACATCCAACATCAAGCTTAATTAGAGACATGAAGTAAAAACTAGAACTTAGCTTACAAAATTGTTAGGCTCCTGGCAAGGAAAAAGAATGCCTTTTCTCATCAAAAATTGCAACCTTCTGAAAATAAATATTACATGTGACGGTAATGATAAATACAACAACAAAACAGTAACATTAGAATCAGCAGAGCTGAGATGAAAGGCATGGGATTTGCTATCATGGACGGGATTTAAACTTCTCTGTGATGTACTTCCAGGGATATCTTAACTCTGAAACTATACGTTGAATCCCAACCGAACGTCAGCCATTGTGCCAGGTTCTAGGGTTACACCAATGGACAAAGGCTGACCACTGAGCTAACATTTATGTTAATATGACAGAGATAAAAATAATTATGTTAAACAAATTCATTACATTATTTTTATCAAATTTCAAGAATCTTAGGAAAATCCCTTAATATAGAAGACAGTCCCTATAGATGTTACTTGTAGCATTATCTATAATAAGTAAATGTAGAGAGCAATGTCAATAACAGGTAACTGGGTTGGTAAACCATTGTCCACTTTATATGAAATTATGCAGTCATCAGAAATCATTTTAATTAAATGATTTTTTAAATATGGAAGAATTCTTAAATGCAAAATAAAAAATGTAAAACAGAATGAGCCATATGATCTATCAATGAAATGTAAATAATATGTAAATTATAGGCATTATAATTAAGACCAAGAGATAACAAAACAGAATATCAACAGAGGTTGTGCTCAGGTAGTGCAATTATCAGTTTGTTTTATCTTTGTTTTTGTTTTGCTTCCTTATAAAATACTATGTTTCAAATTATATACAGTATCTATCCATTTCTTTATCCTATAAAGAAATAAGCTAGTAGTGTTACTAGTAATAATTCTTAATGGGGTAGATTATAATAATTCAAACAGTAGTTGAGCATATATGCTATGCACTGGCAGGCACATATATACTTCTACTTCTCTTCCCTTGCAGCTGGACAAAATTAGCTTTACATGACCTGAGTTCATAGACAGGAGTAGAGCAGTGTGTATATAATTTGAATAATAAATCACATTTTCTTTCTTTAAATGATATGCTATAATGACTTTTGCAGCAAACTTAGCTTCATAAATATGGGTTGCATAATATTTAAAAGATTAAGTGTTCAAAATATGAAAAATAATCTATGTGACACAAAAGCACTTAAAATAGCAGGAAAAAGGCTGGTGAAAGGGGCAAAAGGGAAGATGTTTGTCAAAAACTACAACTTCTAGCTACTAAATAAATATTTTCTGGGGATCTAATCTACAGCATTGTAATTATAGATAACAATATTTTACTAATGATATATACTTGAAAGAGTAGATCTTGAATTTTCTCACCACCAAAAGACAAGCAATGGAAACTGTGTGGTATGATGGAAATAATAGCTAACACTGTCATGGTAATAATCATACTGTAATACATAAGTGTATCAAATATCACATTGTATACCTTAAATTTACATGGTGTTACATGTCAAGTATAATATCTCGATAAAGTTGGGGGAATAGATAGGAGAAAAAAGATTATATTGGAATTTTCAAAATTGCTTTAGTAATAACTGCATGTAAATAATTGCAAGTGGGTTGGAGAAAAGGCTAATGTTCCATCAACATCATCCCTACACTGCAGCAAGAATTACTAGGACCACGGAAGTCTGGCCTGCTAGCACCTGTTGATGAGGAACCTTTCTGACATGGTAGATGCTACCTTTGGAAATCTTACCTCTAAGGGAGAAAACAGTCATATCTGGAACTTTCATTAATGTGGTTTTTCTAGAGTGAGCAGTTGCTAATCATGAATTTTCACATTCAAGTCCTGCAGGAAACAAACAGTACTGATGTGATGAATACATTTCTTCTAAGGTAACTTAGGAGAGAATAGTTAGAGCAACTGCATACAAAATACAAAGTAGCTGCATACAAGTAGCTTCCATTCATTTCAATAGGCGTGAAATATGACTGACTTTGTAAATCAAGATAAATGATTACAATAATGTTTTTAATATTGATCTGAGCAATTTTTTTCATTCAAAAATATCTTTTTTATCATCTCTCACCTATACTATTTTGGGGTTAAATTGTAATAGATTGAATACATGGTTACTTTGATAGCTTTTAAATGGACTAGTTTTGTTGCAAGATAAGGACACAAATATAGATTCAAATATATTCCTTATTCAACTTTATTGAGGTATAATTTACATTTAATGAATATGCCTTATTAATGTATATAGATTGATAAGCTTTGACAGATGTACATATCCATATTTACATTGCCCAAAACAAGATCTAGAGCATATTCATCACCACAAAAAGTCCCTTTGCACCCTTTTGCAGTCATTACTACAGCTCTGCCTCAGCCCATGTGCCTGCTGATCCAAATGTAGATGTATTTTAATGTACTGCCCTTTGTACCATGAGGACTCAAAATCAGTCCACTGTTTTGAATACTGGTTGCTTGGTTGGTTGAAATAAACAGCAAATATAAAGCAGTGAAGTTGAAACAAATAACAAATATCCCTACCCCTGTGTTTGGTCAAGAAATACAGTGACATATGGAAACTTCAAAGGACAAAAGAAAGCAAATTAGGAATATCTGCTTGAGAAACAAAGTGAATGTGCAAGAACATAGTCTAGAAATGCCTCCACTGTGGCTTTCAACACACCACTGGCCAATACTTACTTTCTGTGGCATTTGCTGTTTATGCTTCTCAACACATGAGACAGTTTTTCAGGAGCACTAGTAGTCATAATGGTTTGATTTAAAACTGATTCGTGAACAAGGGACAATTTGGAAAGTGACTGATGGATGGAACTAAAGACATTGAAATAAGTATTGATTCAAAAAGAAAATAGTTTTGTATGTCCAATAATTATTATACTAAGTATATAAAATATTTCTTCCATTTTCAAACCTTGTTTCAGATGCTCTTCAAAGAACTTGTACTGGTACAGTTCTTGTGAACCTAGAAGATGGTGACTGGGAAATTCTTAAAACTACTACTATAAAAGCTGATGACAGAGATAAACCTGAACATACTACTACTTTTAGTACTATTAAAAACACAGATGACAGAGTAATAACAGGTGTGCCCCTTATCAAAGATAATGTGCATTTTGGTCCTGCTGGCATTGGACTACTCATCATGGGATTCTTGGTCCTAGGATGTAAGTACTTTAACAGTTCAATTCCTATGTACCACACCTCAAAAATTGTGAGAAGTTTTTGATCTTTTGATGAATACATTTTACAAATGCTTATTTTGTTCAGCTATCAAGGGAGTTCTCCATTTGGTGCTGGATTGACCAAAAAAAATCCAGCTGCTTGGCACTAGAAGAGAAAAACTTTTTTGCATTAAATTTCAGTGTAATACAAAGTCCCATAATAGGCAGGTCAAATTGCTATGTGAGTGAAGAAGATAATGAGAAATAATCAGTTAAAACAGAAAAGCCTACATAAAGAAAATAAATGATCAGTGGGGTAGTAACAGAATTGGCCTGATGAGCAAGAAAAAAAAAACACAATACAAGAAGAAAAAAATTATGGAAAAACTCCCCACAGAATGACGTGCTGGTCACTGACATAAAGGACTCCAATAGGAAGAGCCAGAGGATGTTCAGGACTGCATGGTGACAGTTGAGACTAGAAAGATAGGCAGGCGCCAGACCTTGAAGGGATTTCATGCTACAGTAAAACTCAATGGAAGAGAGTCAGATAGATGTAGGGTTAAACTTCAGCTTCCAAATGTAATTGTCTGAGACTTTCAAAGCTTACTTTAACTTGCTGAGCCCGACTTTGTCACCTATTATGACATAACGTGGCTTTGATGATGAAAAAGAAGTACCCCACAAAGAAACATTAGAGATACATCATATTTATAGTCATTGGATTAGATCTCATGAAGTATCTAACCATGAGTGTAATATCCAATGGATTCTCTAAATGGTCTTCAACGTTCCCTTGGAGGATGGTAGATATTACAGTGGAGATGAGCTGGCCCTACAGTCTCTGAGGAATGAGAAGGGAAGCTCTAAAGTGAATAGGTTGATATCTACACACTACTATTAAAGTAAACATTGCCATTTTTAGCATAGAATCATAAAATCGTAGTGACAGAGGATACCTCAGGTATTATTTAAGTAAAACATACACACATAAAATATGAAATCAGAGCAGTCCACACTGAATCATTTTTTCTACCTTCATTTTCTTTTAGTATATAAACAGCTATACAATACATAGTTCACACTATGTTTATTAGTGAACTGGATTTTCTCTGATTTTAAATAACTTTCACCCTTTTGAAATTATGAAAAAAAATTGAATTAGTCAAAACCACAAAGATTTTGGACATGCTATCAGCACAACTTAAAGTGGAGGATCTTTTCCTATAGTTGAAAATAAAGTCCAAGAAACAAGGAACTAATAGGTGAAGTATTAGGATTTCATTGTTATTTGCTCATAAGAAATGGAAATAGCCATGAAAACACTTCTATTAAATGAGGAGAAGGTTAAAAAAGGCAACATTCTTACCAAAATAAACCAAGGCAAGAAAAATGCTACCAAATTTGCAAAATATAACCTAAAATATATAAGAAGATACAATTCCCCAATTTTCCTGCTTTGGATGTATTAATTATTAACCAACATTTTAAAACTTTAATGTTTCTCAAGGTAACAATTTACCCAGGTGCTAATTACCTCTATCGAAAAAAAACAAAACTGTTAACTTTGAATTTCCCTTTATATTGATGACTGTGTTTGAGTAGTGTCCTTAATAAAAGATTTATAAATAATATTTGGGCTTTAGAATCAAATACCTCTAAATTCAAAGCTATATCTAAGCCTGACATATTTGCAAGAAAACAAAACACCAAAAATTACTTTTCTCCTTTTTTTCTCCTTCTCTCTCTCCCTCCCTCCCCCGCCTCCCCGCCTCTCTTTAAAAAAAAATGTGCATATCATTTCTTACACTGAAAAAATGACCACTAATAGTCATGCCTTGAGGCTTAGCTCTACTGAGTTAAATACACTAACAATAATTGACATACAACAAATATATTTTTCTAAACACCATAGATATACCATTTCACATGCACATTTTAAACATATTATGTGTTTAGGACTCAGAAGTAATCTTGACATTTAAAACAGCAAACATATACAAAACAGTTACAAGTGAAAACAATGCTGGCAAAGCGCCCTGTGTTTTTATCCAGAGACACAACATCAAACCTCAGGCTCGAAAACATTAAAAACTGTTTGGTATATAAGAATATTTTGGGAGAGGGGAGCAGAGAGAATAACAGCTTTCCCTTTGGCTTAAGAGAGTCAACAGTTCGAAGTCATTAAACCAGAATTAGAAGCCCCTAGAGAAGTCAGAATTTAGAAGCAGAAAACTCAGAGTGGCAGGGAGCTGTGTGGGTTCTTCACTCCCCTCACCAGGCCCAGCCCAGGTTCCTGTCTAGAAAGAGCTGCTGAGGCCACTTCTGTTTCAGAAGGGTAATCATGTGATGGTGTGAGTGGTGATTTGTGAGATGCTTTTTCTTTTAAAGCACAAATGTCTGTAACCCAGCAGATGAATCTGCAGGCCCTGCTGGGAGTCTCAGGACAACCTCTGCCCCCACCATCAGTGGCCCTGTGAGCAGGGGGCCTGGAGGGGGCCCAGCAGCCAGAAGCTCAGCTGTCAGTGGGCAGGCAGCCCAGAGTTGACTGTGGTCACCTTTCCACCATCAGTTTTGATCAGAGTTGCCCTCTTTCTCTGCATTAGAATCTCACTGAAGGCTTTGCCTATGAATACATTTGGGGCACAACACATTGTCCTCCAGGCGGGGTGGGGTGGGGGGGCGGGTAGTGACAGGCAGGTAACAAGAAGGGTGCAGACACTTTCTCTTCTTCTCAGGAACCCAGGCTGGCCCAGCATTTCCCTCTGTCTTATTACTCTCCTCACTGCGTTCCTCCCTGCCTGCCTTGCTTTCTTCTTTCCTTCCTTCCTTCCTTCCTTTTTAGAAATTTACACATCCTTCCCTTCATATACCTATTCATTCCAAATCATTATTTAAGATCATATTATGTAAAACACCCTGGGATAGAAACTTATGTAGTTAAGAAAAATCCAGCTGGTCAATAGAAAAAGACATTGTTAAGCAGTGTAATGTTCTTTATCTGTGTGTGAGTGAGTTCAAGAAAAGGTATCTGTCTAGGGGCAGATAATAGCCTCAGAGAGGATAATGGCTTAAAGCATGAAGAAGGGGTTACTGTTGAAATAAAAGGTCAGGCATGTGTGAAAGGAGAAAAATAAAGACAAGAACAAATCAAACCTCTGGACTGGCCTTCCCACTTTCTTTTTCTCTCCTTTACTATTTTCCTGAGTAATGATGGGGGAAGACCCATCTGTTTCAAAAGTATCACACTATTGCAGTCTGAATCCCATGTAACAGATGAAAATTGATTGTAATCTAGTATACTGAATCTCACATTGATTTTGATATCTCACCATTACTCGGTTTATTTTCTCACCTTCATAATAATTTTAGGACCAAATGGGGTTATATTAGGGATTCAAATTTAATCACAAAAAGCAAGTCATTTTGTTTTAAAATGCCCTGCTGCTAATTTCAATATTCCCATCCTCTCACCACCAGTGGTCCCATTTTTGTTGATCTGCTGTGATTGTGGAGGTGCCCCCGGTGGGGGAGCCGGCTTTGAGCCTGTTCCTGAATGTTCAGATGGAGCAATTCATTCGTGGGCAGTAGAAGGACCACAGCCCCAGCTGATGGTGAGTGCAGATCTGTAAAAAACAGACTATGGTTGACACCTAAACTCAGCCTTGTGCACATGAAACTGGACATGGGTGGTCACCTCCAGTCTATGCCATTCTCTGTTCTGGGCAAGCCAATGAGGAAAATGGAGAGGGGTCAGAGGTGCATCAAAATTAGGCGGAAGTCTTCAGGGGAGGCTTTCTGAATGAGGTTCCTGTTTTAAATAAATTTCGACAGGTTCCTAAGTAGTATTCGTTCAGGAAATCTTAGTTAATTTGACAACTAACCCAAGGTATAACTAGAGATAGAAAAGTCATTACAATTGACAAAATGTTATTTCTTGTCTTTTAGGATTTGACACAAATACCACTGGATAATGCAAATGTGATTGAATGTGTTGACACTTCAGGTAGAGTTTAATTTTTTTTATTTTTAATAACTCAAATGACTCAGAAGGAATTTTGTTGTCTGTTAGCATATTTTGCTGTTCAATTGTTTTGTCTTAAAAATATTCTCGTTATTACTTTTTATTTTATTTTTTATTGGTATTCGAATACAGTTGTCTTCATTTTCCCCCAGCCACTCTCCCTCACCCCACCCATCCCCACCTCCCACCCTGGGTCCTACCCCCCTTTGGCTTTGTCCAGGTGTCCTTCAAATAAGAACATGTTTATTTTTCTTTTTTAAATAACTGATTGCAAAATAAATGATAAGGAAAACCCTACAGTAAATATTATTGTTACATGTTAAATTGTTAAAATCATTCTCAACCATCAGAGAACATTTAGGAAATAACCTGATTAGGATCTCAATAAATAGGAAAGAATAACTAAATTGTAACCACAAGCCGATATCAGTTGTACTTATTGTTGTTGTTGTTGTTCAATAGAGTAAATCTTATTTACCTGGAGGATATGAATTAGAATTAAAGTACAACCCATTTAACATAAATCTGTGCTTATTTATTGATATTAAATTTACTCCCCCAAAATATTGATTAGAATTAAAGCACAATACTATTTAATAGATCTGCTCTCATTTATTGAGACCGGAATCTATCTCCACAATTCATGAATGGTTCAAAATCACTCTGACTTCAGCTGCTATCAGGACAGAATTAAACACTTCATCCATTCTCAGCATCACCATAAATGTTAACCTACAGAGCTTCATCCCCCTTATCAAAATGAAAGCGGATGAGACACCATCAAAATCTTTCAAAAATCTCATCTGAGGTTGTGGGCATGTGGTCGAGTGTCTCCCTGCACGTGGGTCAGATTACCAGTGGAGCCCCCTTCACAACAGGGGTCTAGACCAACTCACAGGCCGACACTAGGGGACAATTAGTGAATTGTAAGTGAATAACTACCACTCTCATAAAAAGAACAATTAACTTTTAAAAACTTCCTATACTTTTGAAAAGAGTTGCACCATCTCTCCTTGTTTCAAGGTAAGTAAATATTATTGATTCTGTTATTCTTCTCTCAGTTTTCAAGCAGCTTGTAATCATGACTTTTCTTCTTTGAACTCTAAAATGCAAGAGGCACAGCATGTTTGTAACTTGAAGAACTGGACCTTACTCAAAAACTGGACATGCCTGTCTTTATATCTATTTCTCCTCCTGATATATTGATTTTTGTTAATGAGACCAAAGTCTCCCCTCCTCAGAAGCAGAAACTCATCCTTCTATATCTTTCTTATTTATTGATATTCAATTAGTTCTTAAAACCTGTCAAAACTACCAGCATATATTTATACCTTTATTCTCTCAAATTTAAGTCTCAAACTTTACCCAAACTTGAAAAAAGCACAGTGAAAGGCACCAAAGTAATAAAAGTATGTAAAATATATTGCCCCTTAAATCATGAGTTTTAATATATTCAACCATAAGACACCTTTCCCATGTCAACATGTCCCTGCCCGAGGCACTTCTACAGTCTAGGCCATCATTTTATCTCATGTACCTAGAATACTGTAACCTATTCACATCTCACATCCAAGTGCAAAGTCAAGACCCCATGTAAAACTTTCACCCGGCCGTGGCCATGGCTGCTTCTCTGAAAGCCGTCATTCAGGGCCTTTGCTGGAGGCTCTGTGTTTCTAGTACATTGGTTTATTCTCATACTGTTTACTTTAAAATAAATAAAATAAATAAATGAATAAATAAATAAAATAATCTCTAAAGCATAGTTTTTTTTTACATCTGTGCTTTTTGTAAGCCCTCTCTTCTAGTACAACTTATAACTACCAAAAACAATTAACAAAATAATTAAAAGATTAGTTAATAATATTATTTTGAACTTAATATCATATTTATTATTCCTGTATTTAAATTTCACCTTCATTTTTTTCCTTTCTAACAAATGCATACTTAAATGAAGGAACCATCCGTTAAAGTAAATTACTGATTTACAGTCTATAATAACCTACATGTAGTAAATTTAATTTGATTTACACTTTCAGGGGTTTACACAAATGAGTATTGTGGTAGAGAAACGCAAGATATGGGAGAAGAAGAAAGAATGAGAGGATTTGAATTAACTGATGCAGTTAAAACACCACGAGGACCTGAGACATGTCAAGAATATTCTGGAACATTAAGAAGAAATTCTATGAGGGAGTGTAGAGAAGGAGGTCTGAATATGAACTTCATGGAAAGTTACTTCTGTCAGGTAAGGACTCCAGTCCCCATGCCTTCCTGTCCATCCCAGATCCACTGCTGTGGCCAGGCTCCCACTATTTCCCTATGGGGCTTTGGGAAGCATCTCCTAACTGGGCTTCCAGCCTTGAGTCGTATGCCTGAGATGCATAGTGCTGCTAAATAATACAGGGAAAACTGTTACTGATACCCGGTACTCCCCCACCTAAATACAGCCAATGACCCCTAGCTGTGTTTTCTCTACGGCATGAAGTCTAACATGGAAAATAAGCTTATTCACAAACTGACCCCTGCCCTGTCATCCCCAATTACTCCTTACAATTTACTAATTGCACTTGCCAAGTGCCTTGCCTTAGTCACACCATGCTATTGCCCTCCTTGTCTTTGCTTGTGCTGTGCCTACACTGGAATGCTTTCATCTGGTCATCACTCTCATAAACCCCTACCCATCTCCAAAACCCCATTCAAATATCAGTGCCTCTGAAGTTGTATTAACCATTTTGTTGAAAATAGGGTTAGTGTTTCTTTATTTGTATTTTTGTAATACACATTCTCCTCAACTTACAATAAGGTTTGTTTCCTTAAGCCCATCATAAACTGAAAAGATTTAAATTGAAAATGGATTTAATTCACCTAACCTACCAAATATCCAAGCTTAGCCTAGTCTACTGAAAGCACATCACTTTTACACCATCATAAAACAAAAAATTGTTAAGTTGAATCATTGTATGACAGGGACCATCTACACTTGGTTTATACATTTAAAAAAAATAGCATTGCTAAAATCTGTAGGTTTATATGTTAGCACACTTTTTGGTGCCTCAAATAAGTTCTCCACATTATGTTGCTATAACCTAGTTTAGTTTAAGGCACAAAATAAACATTCCATAACAGTGTTTTCAAGACCTGTGGTACAATTCCAGAACATTCTAAGAACCTGTAAGAATCAATGTTGCCATCCTCAGGTGGAGACAGACATGCCTGTGGTGACACACCATGTGGTACTTAAGCTTTAAGGAATTTAGTTTTTGATACACATACGTCCTTCTACATTTTAGCCTAAAATGCCTTCATGAACCATCCTAAAGGTTTAGATGGCAACTGATATTTTGAAATAAGATACTAGTAAAAGCCTTTCAGATCCCAGTGGATAATAATAAAAGGTCTGTTGCTGAAATCTATAGAAATGCTACCTATCCAGGTCCCAACAAATTAATATATTTTCATGAAAAGTACAATTCTGCCTCCCAACTTCTGCACTTACAGATCCTTCTGCCCACACCATTCTATATGCCTTACTCACCATCACGTGATTCAAATCTCCAATCAAACATCACTTTTGGAGATGCCGTCCCTGACCATTCTACCTGAAAGAGCAACCCCCATCACTTTCTGTCCCTGTACCCCCCACTCACCACCTCCTGACAAAGGTGGTTCTGTGTTGTCTGTCTCATCCTACTCAGATGCAAGCCCTGCTAGAAAAGGATTTATCTAGTTTTTTCATTACCTCATTGCTAAGTTCCTAATAGAATGTATTGCAAATACTAAGGACTGGAAAACTATTTGTGAATGAAATGGCTCAATGTGTTGGTTTTCTAATAAATGCATTTCTGATACTTAACCTGAAAGTTTGCAGACCATTATCACAAACACCAAAGATGAACTAAAAGTACACATGCCCGTGGGCTTTACTTTGAATTGAAGGAGATTCTAGTTTTAAAAGTTGTCATTGGTCAGCTTCAGTTTTGAATCCAAAACTGTAATGCAGAGTTAAATTTTTCTGCTGTTTTGCAGAAAGAGCCGCATTGAAATAAATTTCACAGATTCACCATTATCACTCAGTGAGGAAGGGAAAGAACAATCCTGAATGAAATCAACTCAGCTACTTTTTATAAATAAACCAAAAACATACACAATTTGCTGAACTTCAAATTTAGCATTTTTAATCACCTCCTTCTAACTTGGTTACAAAATATTTCATGCTATTTCTTTATATGCTTTTGTGTCCATAGCACACTAATACAAAGTCTGTTTAAATAAAATTTAAAATTCAAAATGTTATTGGAATGACAGTTAAAATAATTTCTAAGCATATTCTTTCATGCTATTATATGATTTATTTTTAGAACATCTCTAGTAGATGTTAGAATTTCGGTTTTTATTTTTCTTTGGTAATGTCATATAAAAATTAATGATAAAGGCTTCCAATACCATTAAATATGTATTCATTATTTCCTTTTCTCTTTCTTCTACCAACTTAGAAAGCGTACGCTTATGCAGATGAAGAAGAAGGACGCCCATCCAATGACTGTTTGCTCATATATGATATTGAAGGTGTAGGTTCCCCCGCTGGCTCTGTGGGCTGCTGTAGCTTCATTGGAGAAGACTTGGATGACAGCTTCTTGGATAATCTGGGGCCTAAATTTAAGAAATTGGCAGATATCACCCTGGGAAAAAGTGTTGAACCATATCCAGACCTTGATCCCTCATGTCCACCTGAGAGCACAGGACCAATTTACCCTCCACAGGAAACAGAGCCCCTTGCTAGTGGGTGCCCTCCCCTCTCCCCATGCTATGGCACTACCACAGTCATTTCTGAGAGCACCTACCCCTCGGGACCTGGTGTACAGCATCCTATGCCTATTCCTGATCCTCTAGGCTATGGCAATGTCACTGTGACCGAGTCTTATGCCACCTCTGGCACTCTGAAGCCCTCTGTCCACATTCATGATAACCGACATGCCTCAAATGTGCTGGTGACAGAGAGGGTGGTAGGCCCTATCTCTGGTGCTGATTTGCATGGAATGTTAGAGATGCCTGACTTGAGAGATGGCTCCAATGTTATAGTGACAGAAAGGGTAATAGCACCAAGTTCAAGTCTACCCACCACTTTGACCATCTCTGATCCTAGAGAGTCTTCAAATGTGGTAGTGACAGAAAGAGTAATTCGACCCACTTCTGGCATGATGGGCACTTTGGCTATGCACCCAGACTTATCAAACGCCCACAACATGATTGTGTCAGAGAGGGTCGTCTCTGGCTCTGGTGTAACTGGAATTAGTGGCCCAGCTGGGATAATGGGAGGCAGTGGCACAGTCAGCAGTGGCTTCATTGGCAGTGAAGCTGGAATAAGTGGTGGTGGCATCATGCTGAGTAGTCTGGAAGGAGGCGGGGGCCTGAGTAGCAGCATGGGGAGGACAGCCACCATTGGCCACATGAGGAGCTCGTCTGACCTTCACTTTGGCCAGACCCTTGGATCTGCTTCCCCTAGCACAGCCCGAAGTCGAATCACGAAGTACAGTACAGTACAATATGCTAAGTAGCCAGGATCCCAGCACCGTTTTTCTCAGCAGTTGTGATTTAGGTTTAATTCCCACCACCAAAGAGCTAACAACATCATTTATGATGCACAACTTGGTGCTTCGGTAGTTGTGGAGCAAGGTGAGAAAAATAGGTGAAAACAGTGCTGCTGGGCAAGAGCTCTCCATGGCATTTGTAAACGTTTTTGTTACATTAATACTAATGGAGTCATGACAGGGAACTAAAACTTGATTCAGGGTTTTCTTCACTTCTGTGTGGCCTGTAGCGCATCTCTAGCATGTGGAAGAAATAAAACTCAGTCGTGTCAAAATGTGGGTCTTCTGATGGCAATTGACAGAATTCTCTCACTCTTTTTTCATATGCCATGTAGTTCAGGCAACATTTAAAAAGAACTAAATACGCCATATGTATTCATCTATGTGGGACAAATTTGGAATTTGTGCCAAGTGCCCTGTCCATTTCACAGATATTATAAATGAAAATCCAACCACATATTCATACCAGGGTTAACCATTAGAGGAAAAGATTCTGGTTACACAGTAAAGTCCACTAGCCACCAATCACTCCTAGTTTAGTGACCACCCTAGGTAAAATAAAATTCAAAATAGGAAATGTTTTCTGGGAGGGATATTGCATAGGAGAATGACAATGGGATGAGATCCTTTGGGGTAAACTGGGATTGTCTTGGCCTGTGTCTTGAGATGGGGCTGCAGCTAAAATTTTCATGGAGTGTTCGTTTCTAGTGTAGGTGCAATATCAATTGCTTTGCCTACTGGTGAGGTTGCAGGATATCACACTCATTTCCCCCTTTACTGCTGCGGCTCTGACTTAATAAAGGAGCCACAAAGAAGTACACCCTGCCAAGCGTACTTCTCATATTGCAGCAAGTGACAACTGACATCGCCATCCTCATTAGCGGTAGAGGACCTTCCAAGGAGGCAGATGGGAACAGCACTGTATTTTCATATGGTTTATATTTATGTTCAGCTTCTTCATTTTACATCCCCTAAGTTAAAATGATTTACTTAAACTGAGCTGTATGGTTAAATTGGGAAAGTTTTATAAACAAGATCATAAAAAATGTTTTTAGAACATTTAAAATGTTTAATGGTGTAACTTGGAATTTTTCCCTGAAGTAATAAGGTACTATTAGTTTGAATTGAGTTTAGTACTTTTTTAAACAACCCTTTGATGCTATTTTGAAGGGTCAGCTAGGAATTCTTAACAGAGTTGACAATATTGTGTTAATAAAATGAAATTATACTAGACAACCCTATTTCCTTATTCTCTCCCTTCCCAACTGAATTTTTTCACTAGCATAAATTCTACATTCCTGATTTGATTTGTCAATGCACTCTTGGATTTTTACACACTCCAATTTACAGATTCCAGATTATATCCTATGATATATTTTTCCACCTTCAAAATTTAGTGATATATTTATAACATGTCATTTATGTGTGTTTGCTATATAGTGTTACCTGTTTAAATGTCTGTAAATCGAATCAAAGCATTCTTAACTAGAGGTAAATTTTCCATTGCATGGTAGGGGAATATTTCTTCTCCTTTCTAAACTCAGTATTATTATGAGTTTCACTAAAGTAAAACTGTATATGACAAAATATTTTAAGGGTTAATACTCCCAATTACTCAAATTTCCCAGAGTCCTGCAAGATCAAAGACCATTCAACTTCCAATACTCGTGAAAGAGGTCTGGGGAATAAATTATTTTACCCAGAGCTATTTTGCTCTATGTTATAGCAGAAGGTGTCAATATTTTCAAAGCCACAATATACATCTTATTTTAACACTGTAGCCTACATAAAATCATAATGTTCTGTAGCATGCTGAAATGCAGAGGCGTAAATAAAGTCATTCACAGGAAGTCTTCCTTTTACTTCTTTCTTCCATTTGGGGCTTCCATTAATGATGGTACTTTTCCCAGAAATAAAGTTAAAGGGTGTTTAGTGAAATATACTTGAGTATGCCTAGCTTGTGGAGTTTGATTAAATAACATCATTATTATTTAATCATTAGTTAATTAATTAAAGTGTCTGGTTTCTTAAGAGGTATTCAGTGGAGGGCAGGTGCAGTATAAGTACTTATTTGATTATTTAATATCAACCAACATACCATCTTGAGCTAATTTTTACACTGAATTCCAGATATATCTGCTACATGTCATTAACCTCTCTTTAGGTTGCCTTATCTAATTGAATCAGCACTGAAAAACTACAAAACATAGAAGTATACATTTAGAGTTACTTAAAACCTTCATCAGAGCATGTTTTATTTTCATGTATAAAGTTTGTAGCCTCATAATCTTCATTCAGTGTAATATTCTGACAGAATGTTGATTATATAACTTCAAAACTTACATATTCACTCTCACTTGATATTTTTGACTACGAACACAAATCATTTCTGGATTTATATCAACACTTGAGTGTCATCCAGGCTATGATATATATGACACACTTGGACTGCAGAAGGAGTTTAAAGGTGTTGTCATCATTGACTAAAATGGCCACGGCTACTTGGGAAAGATATTTGAAGCCCAAAAGAAACTTAAAAGTATTGCCATATTATCTCATGCCTATTAATAAATTCTAACTTTTTATAAGATTATTAGTATTATTAAGACCTCCTTCCCATTGCTCTGGAACACACCAGTCCACATAGATTACTAGTAGCCATGTGATAGAAACAGCCTTCCCATTCCAGATCATTCAGTTTGTGTAGGACAAAAGTATGAATAAATCAACCCATCAGCCATTGAATAATTTTAAACAGTAATCTATTTTTGCCCACAGTCCATCAGTTTAGATATATTAGAATTACTAAACACTTTATCACCACAGGCTAAATTTAATCTCTGTTGAACTTTACCTGAAGATCCACAAACTCAACCACCATTTCCACGCCCCTCATTGAATTACCATAAACCCTTGATACTAAACAGGTATCATTATCTCCATTTTTCAAATGAAAACACTGAAACACAGGGACAGTGACTGGTTGAGCCAAGGCCATGCAGTAGAAGATCCAGAATTTAAACTGTTTCTCTGACTCCAAAGTTTGCTCCTTTTCCTCTATGCCAATCAATGTCTCCAAATTAATGGAAATACTCGGGTTGTTCACCATTGCAGAAACTGGCAGAAACTTCTTAAATAAATAATGCAATGCGTCCAGGATCACTGTGTCCTTGCTCACTTTGTAATAGTTGTGATATAGTCATCAAGACAATTTAGGAATAAGATCTTATTAACTAAGCCTATATGTCAGGGATTCTTAAACTTTATTACATCCAATCCACTTTGGGCACTTACTAATAATATAGCTCTCTGGGACACATACTCTAAAAATGTGGCTTTGGTAAGTGCAAATAAGGCCTAAAATTGACATTTTAAAAACAGTGGAAAATCATTTTCCATTATGTTTTATTGTGCAAAGCACTGATTACCATCAAATTTAATATCTCTGAATGTAAGTATTTTTGATGGTGAAACTTGTTAAGTTCCTGTTGTTACTCTTTCATGTGACTAATCTGAAATAAAAGTTGATTATATAATATTGATACAAGATTCCTAATGGAATGGGACATTTCTCTTATACTTCTCAATTAATATCCCTGAATATATGCAGATTTTACTGAGTGTTCTTTTCCCTGACTCTAAGTCCACCTGATTCTATGACATAGAATATACATGCGTGGATGCTTGCATGTGCAGTTGCAGAAGTTAGTCATCAGCTTCTCATAGTACCATGTTGATTATATCATGGAATTTTGATGATGTTCGCAGTTGCTTGTGCTGGAAAACCCTCCCATGAACCAGAAACATGTTTTATAGACCTGTTGCCAGGCTTCTCGTTGTAACTGTGTCATAATTGCCGAAAGATATGTACTACTCACTGATGACAACCACAAATTTATTCTTGAAATCCTCAATAATAAAAAAATAAAAATAAATCACTGTTTGAGATCAAGCGATGAGGAATTGAATGCAACTAATACTAATTTTTGAAAAGTTGGAATGAAAGAGAGTTTCTATGGACATGGAGACTAGAAACATAATATAAGAAGAACTAAGGTGGCAGAACTTCTGGAAAATGGATCTTTGATTCAATAGGACTTAAAATATTTATTGTGTGTATACAGGGTCCCAAGCAATGTCAAGGAAGCACAGGGGATAAGATATATTTCCCAACCTTAAGAAGCTTTAACTTCTCAGGAAGCCTGTTCATAATATCTACAGTACAAATCACACTGTCATAAACGACAATTCTTATGGCCACACCCTAAGCCTTGAGAAACTCTTCCACTTCTAACATTTAAATCGTAACACAAACGTTTTAGGACAACAACCTACTCTGCTTCCAGAAATCTTATTCTTTTACTTCTAATACATGTCTCTAACCTCATTCAGACCTCTAGACATTTATATCCTGCATTTTTTCAGAATTAATTGCTTAGGGGAACTAGTCATCATTTTTCTCCTCTCTAGAGCCAACTCCATAGTCTTCCTCTTTGAATACTCTTGTCAATACCCACTTAACAGTAGTCTAGGTATCTCTAGAATTCACTAATCATCATCCATTTTCAAAATTTGCGGCTTTATCCTCTTAGACAACACCTTTTCTTCTTGAAACTCGATGTTGCTTTCATTTCTCTTTTTTTTAAAATACAGGAAGAGAGGAAAACATCATTTGGTTGCCTTTTGCCCTCATTTCTCTTTTTGTTAATTCAAAAATATTTATTGACACTATCAAGTATTAGGTGTCAAAATACAATTTTGATTTTTAAAAGATATGGTTTATTCTCATGGACATCACATTCTAGTGGTGAGGACAGAGGGTGATAACAATACAATATACGTGTAAACTTGCAACTATGATAATTGCAAAAAAGAAGATGTACAAGGACCCTGATTTTTGTTCCCATTTTTGTCTAAAAGGCAATGAAAGTATCTTTAAGGAGATGATATGCTTAGGTTTGCTCTTGGAAATAGTTTTTCTAGCACTAGTATAGTAGACAGATTAGAGACTGGCCAGAACAGATGTAGGTCTTTTAGGAAGTTAACAGTAGCAATCCAGGTGAGGCACAAAAAGCACTTGGCAAAAACAGTGATTGTCAGATGAGGAACAGGAAATTAGTTTGAGAGAGATGTTTCAGATGTAAAATTAATAAAACTTGGTGTTGGACTGGAAATGTAAGAGTAAGGGAAAAATGTATAGACAATATCCCTTGAGTTTCTGTCTGACACTGGACAAATGGGCAGTCTTATTGTCTTGTCAATAAGGGAAAGAATCCTTGAGAACATAAATTTTCAGCATGTTGAATTTGAATTGGATTTAAAACTTTCAAGAGGAGATTTCAGGCAGGGTTTGGATTTGGATGTGGAGGCCCAGAGTTCAGAATAAAAAGAGCTTGGACTGGATAGATCTACTTGCAGGTCATTCTTGCATGAGACCAATGAGAGACTGCAGACAGAGAAGAGGGTATAGATGCAGGGCATGCCTACAATGAAACAGTGCATCAAATGAGTGCTAGAGAAGAATATGGCTGCAGAGAAACAGAGAGTAAGAGCCAGATTGTGGGGGAAGAAATCAGGAGAATGGTGCACTTTTTTTATTTTCCTCCTGTCTTCAGGACTTTTGGAACCTGTTCATCTCAACATTCTTCCTTTGATTTAAATTACATTGGTCCAAACTGGTTCTACCACTTCTTTGAAGGACTTTTTTTCTGGCTGTTTAACTGACTTTTCTCTCCCTCTCCCAGACAAATGTAAGTATGCAGATTGTCTCCTCAGATAATTTCATGTCTTTTTCTGCCTGCTCTCCTAAGTGATTTCCTCCACTTTGCAATTTCTTTTCTTTTTAGCAGATTTTATTCATCATGCTATTACAGTTGTTCCATTTTTTCTCCCACTTATTGTTTTCTGCCTGGTACTCCTATTCCCTCCAGGATTCCTGACCCTCCCCAACCCACCCCCCAGTTCATGTCCATAGGTCACACATATAAGTTTTTTGGTTTCCCCATTCCTTATACTATTCTTAACCTTCCCCATCTATTTTGTGCCTACCAGTTATGTTTCTTATTCCCTGTGCCTTTTCCCCCCTTCTCCTCCTTTCCTTTGCCCACTGATAACTCTCCATGTGATCTCTATTTCTGTGATTCTGTTCCTGTTCTAGTGGTTTGCTTAGTTTGTTTTTGTTTTGGGTTTTTTTAGGTTCAGTTATTGATAGTTGTGAGTTTGTTGTCATTTTACTGTTCATATTTTTTATCTTCTATTTTTTAGATAAGTCCCTTTAACATTTCATAAATAAGGGCTTGGTAATGATGAACTCTTTAAACTTTATCTTATCTGGGAAGTACTTTATCTGCCCTTCCATTCTAAATGATAGTTTTACTGGATAGAGTTATCTTGGATGTAAGTCCTTGCCTTTCATGACTTCAAATACTTCTTTCCAGCCTCTTTTTGCCTGCTAGATTTCTTTTGAGAAACCAGCTGATAGTCTTGTGGGGCCTCCTCTATAGGTAACTATGTCCTTTCCTCTTGCTGCTTTTAAGATTCTCTCTTTATCAAAAAAGATTCTTCATTTTGAGTTTATTCAGGTATATGGTAAAAGTTGCTGTTCTAGTTTCACTTTTTTGCATATACCAGTCCAGATCTCCCAACCATTTGTTGAAGAGGCTATTCTTACTCCATTGTATGCTCATGCCCCCTTTGTCAAATAGTAATTTATCATAGAGACATGGGTTTATTTATGGGCTCTCTATCCTGTTCCATTGATCTACGTGCCTATTCTTATGCCAGTTCCAGACTGTTTTGATTACAGTGGCCTTGTAATATACT